AGACTACTGTCTTCTTCCATTTCCTTAGCATTTATCAAAACTTCCATATTTAAGCAAACTCAGTGTACCAGAGACATGATAATCACTTCTGTTTACACACTCCATTACCAAAAAAACTCGATTACGGTGAAGTTCCTTTCGAAACAAAAGACGACGCCATTACGATGTTCCAAACGTTTTCGCTTTCTCCTCCTCATTTGGAATCTAGTGACAATCCCAACGAAGTCAAATCAATCATGGGAACTTGTTAAATGTTTTTAAAATCGGGTGTTTTGTACTGTCTTATTTCGATGAAATCCTTGAAAACGAAACATGGCTGCTTCCGTCGAATGGCGAGGGCAAGGTATATGCCCTAATATGGGCAAACCTATATGTAGTGACGTACAGAGGACACGGCTTAAAAACCGCTGCGCATGCGCCAAAATACCTAAAAACAAGATAGCGGACGAGTGAGTGTTTCCCGTGCTTCAAAATGCTTATATTTCCAATGACTCCCAGCGTTTCAGTTTGACTTTGATTGGAGATCGAGAGCAAGCAGATAAATCTGTAGACCCTATGAAACATTTCCATGGTCTTTGAAAGAATATTAACTCATTGATCATCATATGTATATGCCCTAATATGTGCAAACCTATATGTGGAAAAACCGGACGCATGCGCATTAGAGACTATTGTCATGAGCAATCCAATATGGCGGACGAAAGGAGGCAAAAATCTGTCTCTCGTAAAATTGCTCTAAAAACCACAGGCAGCCCAAACAAGGTTCCTGTGTATGGTTTATGAGGGAATGTATGGAGATAAAGTTACGAAAATAAAATGTTTCTCTCAACAATTTGCCTCAAAACTTCCTTCAGTTGTTGCTTTTACTTTGTTCAGTCTTGTGGCGAAGTTTCAGCGCGATTTGAGCCCATTTAGTTAGGTAGAGACCCGGGGGGAAAGGGGGGGGGGGGATGGGGTACTACCACCCCAACTTGAGTAGGAGTGTTCCGCTAGGAACTCAAAACCCTGACCCTATCCCAGACCTAAAATTTTGATTTTACATACCCTACCCCAGACTAAAACTAAGAATTGTACACCCTATCCCAGACTAAAAGACGGAAAAGACGGTTATTCGATAGATTGCAATCAATATCTACTAACGTTTTTATTGTTCTTGTGCCGTCAGAAAGCGTAGCTTATTCGCCAGACAAAAACGACCAAATCGTTAACCCTATCCCAGACAAAAATTATACCCTAGCCCAGACAAAATGTCAAAAATGATACCCTACCCCAGACCCAAAAGCCGAAAAACCATACCCTATAGGGCGGCACATACCCGTATAGCAAATATAGGGGAGTACCCCCCCCCCCCGGGGGTAGAGAAGAGCGGATTTGAAAAACCCACTAAACGGCCTCAAATCGCGCTGAAACTTCGCCACAAGACTGAACAAAGTAAAAGCAACAACTGAAGGTAGTTTTGAGGCAAATTGTTGAGAGAAACATTTTATTTTCGTAACTTTATTATAACTCCCATACATTCCCTTATAAACCATACACAGGAATCTTGTTTGGGCTGCCTGTGTAAGAACGGACAAAAACGCAGCAATGACACTCAAAACTTTTGATAGCAATTCATAATTCGCAAGAGCCCTTGATATGGTAGTTTTTTTNATAAACAAGCAGTGACGTCATAGTGAATTAGGTCAATTGTGTTCATGGAAAAGAAAAATTCATGTCTTTTGAAAAATCAGATCAWCCATGCATCCGATTACTGATGTGGACATTTTATTCAATAACTTTTTATCTTTTTTGACAAGTTTTTCTTTTTCAGTTCTTTACTTTCCCGAATTAGAGTTGAATAACTTAGTTGGCAACTATATAGAGAATTTTACACGGTGGCGCGAAGATATGAAGTTTATCTTCGAGTGGTGAAAAATATTTCATGAGCCGGAGCGCAGGGAACGGGTGAACTATTTTCAACACGAGAAGATAAACTTCATATCAGTTCAAGCCAACGTGGATTTGTTCAACCCGCCTCAAGTGAGCGGGAAAACATCGCAAGTGACGTCATCGATATCCTCACTAGTGAAAATATGGAAAATATGTTACTCAGGTCCCGGATGTAGTTTGTACGAAAAATAAGAATGGCATATTTCCCAACAGGCTCATATAATATATAATAAGATAAAATAAATATTCATTCTTCTTTATTATTATTACACTCAATTAATAGACAGGGCCAGCCGAGGGGGTGGGGCAGGGGCTACTGACTTGCTCCCTTTTCTCCAATCGTAGCCCCCCTTTTTCCTATACCGAGTCTCAATCTTAGCCCCCCTCCCCCCACTTTTTAGGGTGGCCGCAGCCACTGATAGAGTGAAAACACTATCCGTGACGCAGCAGTATGTACTACGTAATTATGACTAGCTATACAGCACTGAATATTCAGAACCAAGTCAGGCCACTATTTAACATAGCTTGTACTTATGATAGCATAGTAACCAGAAGCGACAACAAGGGCGTCACAAGTGGGGGGTCCTAGGGTATCCGTGACAGCCCCCCCCCCCCCCCCCCGAAACAACAAACAAACGCAATAGAGGTAACGGAAATATTTTAAATTAACATTCGATTTTCCTTTTTTTGTTTTGTTTTTGATGGGTTTTTTTTGGCGTTTCAAAGGAACAACTGGATAATACGACGGAAAGAGGATAGAGACAAACAAAAAACGGCTTTTCTGAATTATGATCAATACACTCCATTTCGGGAATCCTGGCTACACCTCTGCTCCAATACTGACYATTTTTTCCTCTTTAATTTAACTATTTTATCTTTAATAAATGATTTGCTTGCAAATATGATTTTATACAGCAAAAACGACGTATCTACTATCATAGTTAATAGAGGGGATTATTAACTATGCTGCTATTTGATAGCTGTGCATATTGGGGTCTAACAATTGATAACGGGTAAACCCCCTCTGTAGCTATTCGCGCCATCTTTCAAATTTGGCAGCTTTGTCTTCCAAATAAATTTGTTCCAGGTTCTGCYGAGTCAAATCTTACATCGATTTATCCTCCTTTTCTACACCAGGTTTGTGTTATTTCATATTCTTATTAATGACAAATGGTTTTTTTGTTTTCTTAAACTGCTTTAATTCTTTTCTGGCTAATTTTCAAAGGCTGCAGTACTGACGTTTCGTCAAATTTCTGAGGCATTCCCGGGTATAAAAGCAAATGGCTTATCGTTTTGCAGTTGTCCAAATCATGTTCAATCCTCCAGACGAATTTCCCAATTCTCTGACTTGGATTATTACAAATAATTATAATTTTATATAGAGTTTCCCACAGTGATTGGTTGAGCAACAAGTGTTTAGTGAGACGATAATGATATTCACTGCTCGAGCAGTTGCGGTTTCCTGCCAGAACAGGAGTAACACTAAAAAGTTTTTATCTTGAATTTCGTCCTTTCTCTAATATTCAAGTCTAAAATTATTCTAAAACAATTATTTACATTAGGCTTAGTGATATGGAGAATATTTACCTTGGTGCTCAAAGACTCGTGCTTTGGTTAAATACTGTGTCTACACAAAGCAGAGGGTTGGACGGGTTGGTTGA